TTATGATGATATCTTCAATAATAAAAAGGTTCAAGGCTTGAGTAGTATCAGTTCTACTTCTAATAGAGAACAAATAATGTTATGGCATCTTAGACTAGGGCATCCTAGTTTCCCTTACCTTAAGAACTTATTTCCTCTTTTGTTTAAAGGGTTGGATTGTTCATCTTTTTATTGTGAAAGCTGTTTTCTATCTAAAAGTCATCGGGCTTCTTATCCTCCAAATTCTTATCGATCATCGAAACCATTTTACTTAATCCACAGTGATGTTTGGGGTCCCTCTAAGGTCACCACTATTTCTGGGAAAAGATGGTTTGTGACCTTTATTGATGATCATACTCGTTTGTGTTGGGTGTATTTGATGCATGATAAATCTGAGGTTAAAAAATTATTTAAGGATTTTTATATGATGATTGAAAACCAATTTGAAACTAAAATACGCATTCTTCACACTGATAATGGCACGGAATACTTCAATGAGGTTTTAGGAAATTTTTTGAAAGAAAAGGGAATTTTTCATCAATCCTCTTGCATCGATTCTCCACAACAAAATGGCATTGCTGAAAGAAAAAATAAACATTTACTCGAGGTTTCTCGTGCTATCATGTTTTCAATGAATGTTCCAAAATATTTGTGGGGAGAGGTTGTTTTGACAGCATCATATTTGATTAATAGGCTGCCAACTCGTGTTCTTAAATACAATAAACCTTTCGATTTTTTCAAAAATCTATTTCCCCAAGCCCAGATTTCTTCTAATCTTCCTGTAAAAGTGTTCGGTTGCACTGTTTTCGTTCATCTACCTAACCGACTTCGGTCAAAATTGGACCCTCGGGCTGAAAAATGTGTTTTCGTTGGTTATGCCCCAAATAAAAAAGGGTACAAATGCTTTAATCCAGCAACAAAAAAATATTTTGTTAGTATGGACGTCTCTTTTGTCGAAAATCGTCCTTATTTTGAGAAAAAATTTCTTCAGGGGGAGAAACAAAGTAGTGAATCAAATTTTTGGGATGTTATTTCCTTACCAAAAACGATTCCTTTGGTATCTCCAAATACTGATTTTCTTAAACAAGGAAATGATACTCAAGTATTGGAGAACCTGGAATCTCCTAGCACTAATATGCTGAACAAAATTGTATCTCTATTAGAGGAAGAAATACTACCAGTGGCTGCACAAGAGCCAAGTCTTGAACTTCAAGTTTATTCTAGAAGAAAGAATCGTAAAAAAAGTGGAGAGCCTGCTATTGTTTTTCAGCAAAGCCAGTCAAAATTCCCGAGCAATGATTCTCTGAATGTTCAAGGTACACACAATCATAACTTACCTACAGTTACTCCTATTATGTCTGAACATGCAGAGCCTTCAAGTGAAATTCCTACTGACCTTGACATCCCAATAGCCATTAGAAAAGGAACCAGAACCTGTACTCAACATCCTATTGCCAAATATTTGTCATATAAAAAACTTTCTCATAGACATAGGGCCTTTACCTCAAAGATTTCACAGTTGTTTGTTCTAAGGAATATTCAGGAAGCACTGGGTGATTCGAATTGGAAATCAGCAGTACAAGAAGAGATGAATGCTCTTAAAAAAAGTGGAACTTGGGAGGTGGTTGATTTGCCCCGAGGAAAGAAAGTTGTTGGGTGTAAATGGGTCTTCACTATTAAGTGTAAGGCTGACGGTAGCGTGGAAAGATATAAGGCGAGACTTGTGGCTAAAGGATTTACGCAAACACATGGTATTGATTATCATGAAACATTTGCCCCTGTAGCAAAAATTAATTCCATCCGAGTACTATTATCTCTGGCAGTCAACTCTAATTGGCCATTATACCAATTAGACATTAAAGATGCCTTTTTGAACGGAGACTTAGACGAGGAAGTGTTTATGAGCTTGCCACCAGGATTTGAAGGAAACCATGCCCAAGCCAGCAAAGTGTGCAAACTAAAAAAGTCGTTATATGGCTTAAAACAATCCCCTAGAGCATGGTTTGAACGATTTGGAAAAGTTGTGAAGGGATATGGATATTGTCAAGGCCAGGCAGATCATACTATGTTCTTCAAACACAATGAGAACGGAAAGATTGCAGTGCTGATCGTGTATGTGGATGACATCATTTTGACAGGTAATGATTTAGAAGAATTGGTCAGATTAAAGAAGAGGCTAGCTGGCGACTTCGAAGTTAAAGACCTAGGAGTTCTCAAATATTTCCTCGGGATGGAATTTGCCAGGTCAAGAGAAGGAATTTTCGTAAATCAACGAAAATATGTACTTGATCTACTTAATGAGACAGGGCTACTTGGGTGTAAAGCTGTGGACACCCCAATTGAAGTCAGTATGAAGTTGGAAGCGGCAAAACCCGAGAACATAGTAAATCGAGAAAGATATCAGAGATTAGTAGGAAGGTTGATTTATCTATCTCACACACGCCCCGATATAGCATTTGCAGTCAGTATGGTAAGTCAATTTATGCATTCTCCTGGACATGAACACTTTGAGGCAGTATATCGAATTCTTAGGTATTTAAAAGGCTCTCCTGGTAGAGGATTATTGTTCAAGAAACGAGATCATTTTCAAATAGAAGCCTATACAGATGCGGACTGGGCAGGAAGTATAATAGATAGACGGTCTACATCAGGCTATTGTACTTTTGTTGGAGGAAACCTTGTTACTTGGCGCAGCAAGAAACAAAATGTTGTAGCAAGGAGTAGTGCCGAAGCTGAGTATAGAGCACTTGCCCATGGAATTTGTGAAGTTATGTGGATAAAGAAACTTCTAGAGGATTTGAAGGTCACAAGTTCTTCTCCCGTGAGAATCTATTGTGACAACAAGGCAGCCATATCAATTGCGCACAATCCAGTTCTACATGATAGAACCAAACATGTTGAAATTGATAGACGTTTTATACATGAGAAACTCGAATGTGGCATGATTTGCATTCCTTATGTGCCTTCAACTGAACAAATTGCGGATATCCTCACTAAAGGATTACAGAAAAAACAATTTGAAGTTTTAAGAAGCAAGCTAGCAATGGAGGATATCCACAAGCCAGCTTGAGGGGGAGTGTTGAATTAGAGAATATTCTTTAATAGATACAGACCTTTAAGGGATTTGATAGGTGTGTAAATAGGCAAGTCAATATCTCAGTATCAAGATAATTAGGAATTAGTCACTGCACAGATTTTTATTTCCTAGTTTAGTTTTTGTATGACTCCTATTTAAATAAACATCATGTAACGTATTCAGTATCGTGAAGTAGAATGTTTTTCTATTCTTTCTGATCGCCTACAGAATTCCAAACAGCAAACCCTAAACAACAGCCGTCGTTTACGAACAACAAACAATTGGGAAATAGCAAACGGAGAGTGGGCAAACCTGTTCAGCAAACGACCTTGTAAATTGCAAACGCTCATACAGCGTAACCTATGAGGGAATCACAATTTGTGGAGAGGTTTTGGTAGTGAAGAAAGGGTGAAGAAATCGATTTCCAGAGATGTGGAATTCTAATTTTCGTATTTGCAGTAATTGTCAAATTTGGTAACTGTTAGGTCAAACAAAAATGGGGAGAAAAATAGGGTATTTTATTTTGAGAATTTATTTTAACATATATTGATAGGGGTACTTTTGACAAATCTGCTAGAAATTAAAATTTATTGGATAAATTGTTACATATATAATCTCTTATAGGAGGACCTATAGCAAATTACCTCTTTTATCTTCTTTGAAACACTTGGGCCACCCGGGTTCGAACCCGTAGAGTTTTTTTCCCGATTTACTAATGAATTATCTTTAATTATAAAAATAAACATATTTATTGATGATGTCAATAAAAAATTTAACGATTCAAATAAAAATTAATATTTCCGTAAAATTTCAATTGTTTAAAAATAAATAATTAATTCTCATTACGAAAAAAGAAACTTCATTTCAAATTGGACTCAAATTTTATAAATTTGATTTGATTCTAATTTGTTATTTTTTTCCTTTTTTTATAAATAATGGTTTTTACTTATATTGATATACTTTTACAGTGCTAATTTTTATTGGTCCATTCTAATTTATGTACATAAATTTAGCAAAAAAAAAAAATATATTATTACGGGAAAATTACGGGCATCCCCAAGGTATGGTCCTATCCTATTAATGAAAAACTGCTCATTTTTGGATAATTACAATTAATTATGTATTGTCTTACAAAAAAAATTATCATTCAACAGGTAAATTTGATACTATAAATATGGATATGTAAGATAATACATAGTTAATGGGATGATTGTAATTATTCAAATAAATTTGATACTATAAATATGAATATGTAAGATAATACATAGTTAATGGGATGATTGTAATTATTCAAATATGAGGGAATTTTTCATAATTGAACCTTATTGCCAGTAATTTACCCTATTATTATTGATATGAAGAGAAATATATATTTTGATTTAAAAAAAAAAAAAAAGGAAGATGGAGGGGATGTGGTTGATACACTGTCAAGGTCATTAGTAAAGAGGAGATAGCATTTTCGACATGGTTGATTAACTAATTAGTTAATAAATATTTGTAATTGGGAAGATTAATAGTCGTGAGATGTATTTATTTAGTGAAAAGAAATGAAAAAAAAAAGAGGGAGGGAAAAGGAAAAGGTGGCGCGGTTCGAGAATCGAAAAGCCCCCAGTCAGTCCGCCGTCGTATCGTATCATGTTTCGTGTGTTTAGTGTAGTGTAGTGTAGCTTCTCTCTCTTCTCTCTCTCTCTGGAACACTCAACAGTCTCTCTCTGTTCTCGAGGAGAGAGGGAGGGAGGGAGAGAGGCTTTTCTAATTATAATTATAATTATAATTATAATTAATTAATTCTTCTTTTCATATCCCATGCACGAATTGAATCCCACACTCAACTCACTCATCTTTATTTAAATTAATGAATTATTCACATTAATCCTCACTCAATCCCTCCCCCCTGCAAAATTCATCTTCTTTCTCCTCTTGGAAAATTCATTCAGAAATCGAAATGATCAAGAACAATGACACACAGACAGTGTCAGAAGAAGAAGAGGTGCATGCATCACCCTCACACAACAAATTTGGTAAAGTGTTTAGAGAGGAAGATGAAATAGGTGTGCTGGAAGGACTTTATGTTTATTGGAAATGCAACGGAGTTAATCATGAATGGAAAAAATATCATGATTTCATAAAGGATGATCTTCCTCACCACTTTTCATCCACTCAACTCTCTGAGAAGATCCGAAGGCTCAGGCTCAAGTTCCAATCCAATTCAAGAAATAATAATATTCATTTTCGCAATGCACATGAATCTCTCGTGTTTGACTTGTCAAAGAAACTCTGGGAACAAGAATTAATCAGCAGCAGCAGCAGCAGCAGCAGCACCACAAACACAACACCACCAGCTGTTGGCAGAAAAATATGTGATGCTGATGCTGATGCTGATGCTGATGGTGCAGGTGATGATGATGAGGAGAGCATCAAAATAGCATCAAAGAAACCACAAAAACAAGAATTTGATGCTTATCCACACTTGTCTGCATTGTTTGACCGCTTTGGGTTTTCTGCATCTAAATACTTAACCTGCAGGCTTAATAAGAAGAAATTGAGAAAGTTGGAGAAGCATTCAAGAAAATTGATTATGCAGGAGAATCAACTGCTTCTTCAACAGATGCTTCTTAGAAAGAAACAGTGTGCTCTTGTCGTTTCTGCCTTAAAAAAATTTAATTCTTGATCCATCACCCATGCATGCAGGTACTCTTTGCTTACTTATTACTTTTTTAGTTTGGTGAGCACAATGTATATATAGAGATTATTCATGTACATCATGTGCCCTGCTTGCTAGTTTATGAAATTAAATAAAATAAGTATACTGTATTTAGTCTGTTACAGTCCGAAAATATAATTGTAGTCAACTAATTAATTGATGTAGCATCAGCATGCATTAAATTCCTCTTTGGTCTATTTGGCTATCTGTTGAGACTATACACAACACATTTATAATTTGCTTTATTCATTTTGTCCTTTAATTTCTGTGTTGATGATTACAGGTTTTGTAAAAGATGGTGAACAAGTAATGGATTCAGAACTAATATTACTATAGCTTTCTACTCAAGTATTAATTAGTAGTAGTAGTGATAAGATTATTATTAGGTTTCTACTTTTTAATTAGCTTAATTAATGAATGTAATGGCATTATTGTAGATGCTTTTGGACATGTTTTTATGTTGATATGAATGTGGGTGGTGATCTATGATATGCAGAGAAGCCGGATGGATGATGTTTTGTCTTAATCCTTTAATCATGTATCTTTCTGGAAAAACAATCTGTTTCAACTTTTTATGGCTTCTTAATTATTTAAAAATTATGGTCGTTTCTGTGATTATTTCCTGCAAGTGTTTGAACATATTTACTTTTTATCTATATTGTCAATCTTTTTTTTCATCTAACATGATAGGGGATGACTATTTCAAATACGAACTTTTGCTTACTTGAATACCAAAAAAATAAAAAATAATAATTAATTGTAAATTACTTTAATACCCTTAATGAAAATTAAAACCAAAAAAATATTACAAATACTATTTTTCTTTCTTAAATACCAAATATTCAAAAACCTAAAAAAAACATTTCCCTCCTCACTCACAAACCCCTCACCTCCTCCACCTCCTTCTTCTCCCTCCCAAAAACCCTCTTAAAAAACCTCAAAACAAAAGAAATCAAAACCTTACACAACTTGCAAAATGGCGTCAAATGACAATAGAATGGTAGTTTACGAGCAAGGAGAACCCATTCAAGTATGTATTCATGTATTTTTTGAGCTAAAACATCGATTTTGAATTTTTTTTTTTTTTAAACTCGCCATGTATTTTCGACACATACAGGTCGAAAATACCCTTATTTTTCGACATGTATGTGTCGAAAACATAACAATTCATATTTTATTAAGTTTCGACACCTAAGTGTCAAATTTTGATACAATTTTCGACACCTAAGTGTCGAAAATTACCCATATTTTCGACACTTAAGTGTCGAAAAAAAAAAAAAAATTTACACATATCTAATTCGACAGGTAGCTGTCGAAAATTGGTTGAATATTCGACAGCTAGCTGTCGAAAACTCATCCAAATTTCGACAGCTATCTGTCGAATTATCAAAAATCCCATTTCAAGCTTTCACATTTTTCGACAACTATATGTCGATTTTTGATGAATTTTCGACATCAAGCTGTCGAAAATTCATCAAAAATCGACATATGCAGGTCGAAAATTGTGAACGAAGAACCAACCCACGAATCTCAAATCAATGCTCAAATCGACTGAAATTAGATGCACCCATTACTAATTAACAATCATTTCTACCTAAAACAATCAAATTCTAATTACCCATATCAAACAATCAAATCCTAAGTAAATATTAAAGAAAAAAAATTCGAAAAACATTATTACTTGGATGAATGAAACCGGAACGAAGAAGCGGCGGCGAGTTGATAACAATGGACGAAGAAGCGGCGGCGGCGGCGTACGGTGGCGTTCGGCGGTGTTCGGCGGTGTTCGGCGGCAGCGGCGGCGGCGGCGGCGAGGGTTGGAGAGGGTTGGAGGTTTTTTTTTTACAACAAAGGGATTTTTTTTTTAATTTGGTTTTTGATTAGGTAATTTCTAATAAAATTTGATATAATTGATATTTTGTATGAAAGGGTGTTTTTGTAATTTTCTTTTTATTTTGGTATTAAAGTAAGAAAAAATTGGTAAATATGTAGTCAATTTTGGTTTTAAACTTGGTAGTAATCAAGTAAGCAAAAGTTAGTATTTGAAATAGTTGCCCCCAACATAATATGGTAATGACAATACATATTTGGATGAATTTGACGTGGACTCGTAAATCCAAGTTTCACGACAAATAGGTTATCTTGTTAATTATCATTTTAAATAAACTCAAAAAAATATGAATTCTCAAAATAAACACATATTTCTAATTGAGATAAGTTCAACCCACTCGCCCATCAGGCCGGTACGACTCGGTTCGGTTTGATCTGATCAACTTTTTTTTTCTTTAGAAAAAAGAAATTTAATTAAATTTTTTTCTTCGGTGACGGATCGTCGGAGCTACTAATAGCTGACTCAATATTAGTTAACTTTAACATTGGTAGACATTTTTTTTAACAGTGGGTCATCAGATATCCTGTTAATTAGTTCACTCAACATTAGTTACGTTCAACATTAGTTAACCTAAATAGTCAATGCTTAATCAACTAATCGGAGCCGTGAATATCCACTGGCAAAAAAAAAAACAAAGAGTTAAGCGGAAAAAAAAATGATCGTATGTTAGCTAATGCAAAGTGAACTAATGCATAGTCAGCTAATCAAAGCTTCAACGTCCACTTGCCGGAAAATAAAAACCAAAAAAAAAAATGTTAAAAGAAAAAAAGTTGGACGTCAGCTAATGTTGGAGTCAGCTAATGCAAATCAACTAATCACAGCTCCGACGATCCGTCGCCGGAAAAAAAAATAAAAAAAAAAAAGATAAAAGAAAAAAAATGATATGTCAACTAACGTTGAGTCAGCTAACCGGAACATCGACGACCCACCACCGGAAACGAAAAAAAAGATAGAAAAAGAAAAGATAAAAGAAAAAAATGGGATATCGAATATCAACTAATGTTAAGTTAACTAATATTGGGTCAAATTATGGTAATGAGGAGTTATGGAATGTGAAAAGAAAACGATGAAATATTTTAGGGATAATTAGCAAGACCCCCCTCATCTAGGTAAATGAGTTAAGAAAACCCCCCCTCCCAAAAATAATTAGAGAAAACCCCCCTTACCTAATATCCTACCCAAATATTATTTAATAATTCCCAAACCACCCTTATTACCCCTAACCCATTGCCGTTCTCTCTTTTTTTTCTTGTCTTCTCATCTTCTCGTCTTCTGCTTCTCTTCTGCCGTGTTCTTTGTTTTTTTTTTTTTTTCTTTCTCCGACAAATCTTCTCATCACCGTCGCCCCCGTCGCCGCTGCCAACCTGGCTCACCGTTCATCAACAAACAACCCCATTTCTCTCTCTTCATTCCTCCCCAGTTCACCACCACCACTATCTCTCCTCTGCCGTCCACTGATACCGTTGCCAAAATGATGAAAGGTGCCTCCGTTGACCAACGCCGCCGCCGGAGAGGATGTGGAGGGGGAGTAAGTGGCCGTGGAAGAAGATTTCATCCGCCGGAGATAAATCGATGGCGGCGATTGGAGGAGGGGATTTTGGTTTGTTGGTGTTAATGTCGGACGGCGGTTGTGGCGGCGGCGGTTGGGGCGGCGGGTGGAGGGAGATGGTGAAGGAGAATTCATGGGAGGGTGAGGATGAAGGTGAAGGTGGATTGATGAGTTGTACCTGCTGCTTTGTTTGTTGTTCCTCTTCACCCCTCACTATAATTTGATGCTCAATTTCCATAGCTTTTTCTTTTTTTTTTTTGATGAATTGCCAATTTTTTTTCTTAAAACCTAACGGGTTCGGCCATGGCAGGAGCTCTGGGTGGTGTGGTGACGAAGGGGAGGTTGTTTTTTGATTTTTTTGTGGATGAAACCTAAATCGACTATGTACATGTTCATAGTCGATTAAGCTAATCGACTATGCTCTGGTAGTCGATTAAGGTTCATCGACTCCAATTTTTTTTATTTTTTTTGGATTTTTTGTTTATTGCTTTCAATTGTATAAATCATTTATAATATTTGTATATTTTTTTGTTTTGGTAATATATAGTTGATTTTGTATTTTTTTCGCAGTTGTGATTTGTTATTTTTAGTAGCAGATTCTTAATCGACTATGCTTCACATCATAGTCGATTAATACACCTGATATAGAAAAAAAAAATTAAAAAAACAAAAAAAAAAAAATAATTAAATAATTTCCTTAATCGACTATGAAGCATAGTCGATTAAGGCTTAATCGACTATGCTTCATAGTCGATTAAGAAAAAAAACGGAAAAAAAAAAAAAAAAATTGCTGAGCGTGACCCACTGATGATGTGGCGGGTGGGGACAAAGCTGGAAAGCATAATAGCTGAAAATGGGTGTGGACTTTTCTCAAATGGACTAAAATATTTTGGGCCTCCCTCAATTAAAAAAAATAATGAGGGGGTTTTCTCAAAGAGCCCCAATATTTTATATGGATTTATAAGAATGGCAAAAAAACTGAATTGAATGAATTAGAAAAATGTGGAGTGAAAATAGGAAATGTAAAACTTCTACATTTGAAAGTAAAAAAACTATGATTAATTTAAGTACATGACAGTGACGATTATAATGAGAAATATATTATAATATTATAATTAAGGGAAAATTAGAGAAAATCCTTCATCTAGAAAAATGAGATAAGGAAACACCACTCCGAAAAATAATTAGAGAACACCCCTCTTAAGGCCTTAACTAATATTTTATTCAAGTGATATTTTCATAATTCTAAAATTACCGTTAATCGTCTACTATACTCTTTCAAAACCCTAATTTTATTTTCTCTTCTTCTTCCATCTCTTCTCTGCTTTTTTTTTTTTCTCTCTTTATTATAATTTTCTCTCTCAATTTTTTAGATTATTTCTCTCTTGATCGGAAGATGAAGAACCAACCACCAACATCATCGCCAGAACAACGATGCCAATTTTGTTGAAGCCATCGTCGTCATTGCCGTCTTCGTTGTCGTCGGCGCCGACGGGGTCGTCGTCGTTGCAGATCTTAACAAAAGCC